GTCACAGTGTCTGCCCCTGTGGACAAGGTGTGGTTGGCAGGAGCAGATAGGGGACAGAGATGTCACAGTCGCCCCCAACTCAGATTGTCACAGGAGGCTCGTGCTCTCGTACACGGCTTGCTTGCTCATCTGGGCATTTAGCAGGTTCTTCTCAGGCCCACACTCACCTTCACATGCCCAGCTTCAGCCTGCTGCACAGGCCCTGTGTGTCCGTCCACTTGCCCCTCAGTTGGGCTCTACTGGACGGGACCTAAGACCATGTCTGGTCCCTGGGGACCGTGTCAGCCTTTGTTCCTGGCCCAGCCAGGGCCTGGCCATCTCCACAGAGTCACACCCTCCTGGCCCCACCCCTGAGACTGCTGGCCAGCCGTGCACCTTGCAGACTCTCCAGGCAGGAACCGGCTGGCCATCCACCCGCAGTGCTGGACATGCATGGAGCCCACAGTGTCCCGTGGCAGCTGCGCCCCCGCAGCCTGAGTGAAAAACAAATGCCTGCCTTCTATGGATGGAACCCAGGCTGAGCAACTGTCAGTCCTTCCAAATGCTTCTCAGCCTCCAAACTCTTTGTGAAGGCACAGGCTTTGAGGCATCTAAGTTGGTTCCGCTCTCTTATTTAGAAAACAGGCAAAGGCTGCTGGGGGTGGGGGCAGGGAGGTCCCAGTCACCATCCTAGGGTGTGTCTCTTTTGATGTGGAGCCTGGGGTGGAGCTTCCAGCTGGACCTCCTGTTACAGAGCAAGTGAGCAGAAGAAAGAAGGAGGGAGGGAGGAAGGGGGAGGGAGGGAAGAAAGGGGGAGGAAGGAGGGAGAGAGGAGGGAGGGAAGACCGAGCGAGGAGGGAGGGAGGAAAGAGGGAGGAGGTAAGAAGGAGGGAGGGAAGAGGAAGGAAGAAGGGAGGAAAGAGGGAGGAAGTAGGAAGGAGAGAGGGAAGATGGAGGAAGGAGGGAGGGAGAGAAGAGGGAGGAGGTAGGAAGGAGGAAGGGAAGAGGTAGGAAGGAAGGAGGGAGGAGGGAGAAAAGAAGGAGGAGTTAGGAAGGAGGGAGGGAACAGGGAGGAAGGCAGGAGGAAAGAGGAAGGAAGTAGGAAGGAGTGAGGGAAGAGGGAGGAAGGAAGGAGGAAAGATGGAGGAAGGAGGGAGGGAAGAGGGAGAGAGGAGGGAGGAAAGAGGAGGTAGGAAGGAGGGAGGGAAGAGGGAAGAAGGAGGAAGGGAGGAAAAAGGGAGGAAGGAGGGAGGGAGGAAAAAAGGGAGGAAGGAGGGAGGGATGAAGGAGGGAGAGGAGGAAAAAGGAAGGAAGGGAGGAGGGAGGGAGGGAGGGACAGGCCTTCAGCACGCCAGCATGTGCTAAGATACATTCTTGGATAAACCAGGGACCTCAGGTGGGCATGAGAAGGGGAGACACTCAATTTGGCCACTCCCCCAACTAGAGCAAGACCTGGATCCACCAGGTGCATCAGAAGGAAGCAGGGCCTAGAACCCACTCCCAAACCTCTCTGCCACCTCCACAAGAAGCCACTCCCTTCAGATAAAACCATTCCCCAAAATGTGGCTAATCTGCAGGGCAGAGGTTCCACCAGAGAGAATTGCTGGGGGGTTTCAGCACTAAACACTAACACCCATGGAACGTAAATTGACTTTGTCCCTCCACAAACTGGTCATTTCTCATCATGAAACCATGAGCAGCATGACCTTTACATGTGGATCAACAGCACTCGGTCCTTTGACAGCCAGTTCCTTTGACTTGGCCACTTGGTAGTGACCATTCTACCTAAGGATGTGTGACCCAGCAGTGGTACAAGGTGGCTGGACCTCAGTTCGGATGGTGACAACTTCAGCCAAAGCACATTCGTTCTGGCTGTCTGTCCTCTGCTTCTGTAACTTTTATTTCCTCAGTGTGAACAGCACTGCACTTGAGGGACTGGAAGGGGGTGCTTCCATAACTGTCATTGCTATGGCGCACGTTTACTTTTGCTCTTCAATTTAAAATTCAGGTCTTCTACATATCTTTGCAACTAAGGAGGAGAAAGCAGGTCTTTTAATTCCAGAACCGCAGTGTACACATCACGCTCCAATGTGGGCTGTGCAGGAGCTCAGCGCCTAGGGGGTTTCAGGTTGCAGGACATCTCCCTTGGGGGCTGTGTCTGATGCCCTGCAGCCAGCCCTACCGATGGAGCCTGGCTGCTGCCTGCGTTCCCAACGATGAGCCCTTGTGCCCTGGGCTGTTAAGGCTCTGCCTCTGCTGTGAGCTGAAACGCTTTCTCTGAAGAGCCCTCACGGTGCAGAAATAGTGTCTTTGGGTCCTGCTGAGCCCCTACCCCCAGCCCACCGCTGGCACAAGGTGCAGGCACCAGGCACTACTTGGGGCTTCCCCAACCACCTGCATTTTCTAACCACCTGCACTTATTTTCCAACGAAAGGCCAATAAAGAAAGTCACAAACTTCACTTGCAACCTGTTGGCAAAAGGGCAGGGAAGGAAAAGCCCAACCACAAGAAATAACAATCTTGACAAACTTTTTTGCACCTACACACAAAGCCTTGCCTTCAGCTCAGAGACTCTTGGACTCAGGTCAAGTTGCCCTGCCCTCATGCACAGCATAAAACCTTGTCAAAGAGCTGGGAGCTTTCATCCAGCAGCTGTCAGGATGGAAACATGTCTTCCCATTTGCACCCTGTCAAAGGAATGAGCAAGCTGTTTCGCAGCCACAGTTATCCATTTTCTGAAACAAAAGGTTCACGTCAGGTAATCACCTTCATTAGATCATGTTGTGTGTTTTGTGTATGTAAATGACGTCTCTGCCTTGTGGGAGTGGGCACCCCAGGAACTCTGGCTTCTATGACACGCAGATGCCAAGTGACATTGCTGAAGGCAGCCTGCTTGCTAAGGCTGCATCTGTTTACTGTTTCTGACATCTCCAACGATCAGGCCCCTAACACACCACATTCCCTAGGTTTCTTGTTAGAGCCAAACATATAAACCTGCAGATTGAGTTCCCCCAGCATGGAGAATGAGAATAAAGAACAAATGTGATTCTCAAGCAGACACACCAGCTTGGGCATGAGAGCTCTGGTGCGTGTGTGTGCAGAACCTGCAGAGTTGGGCCAGAACTGAGGTCAAGAGGCAGCCCCATGCCACTGCCTTCCTCCTCAACACCACCAGAGAGACTGGGACTGTGCCCCAGTTAGAGAAGTATCGTATTCCTCCTATCCCCTCAGAGCCCAGCCCAGGCCCCAGGGAGAACACAACACACAAGAGAGACATGGGCTCTACCTCGGGGAGCTTACCAGTGAGCAGGAAGGCAACTATTCCTCAAGTGGGTACTCAGATGTGTGAGCCCTCATGAGCTCAGGAAGCCCAGCATGGGTGTTCCCACAGGGGTCAGGGAATGCTGCTGGCAGGTGCCCAGGCAGCTGTAGTGACTCCGCCTTCCTCTCCACACCCCTTTGTGTAGCCATGGAGATAGCACTAAGGCTGGTGATTATGGCGGGGACACAGCCATGACCCTAATGAGCGATGGCTCTTTGAGTTAGCGCTAAGGAAAGGCAATTAGAGGAAATTGTATCCTAAGATGTGGGCCTGTGTGGGATCGCTGCCGCATGAAACAGACTGGGCTCGTCGCAACTTCATTCATTCATTCATTTATTCATTCATTGTCCTAAGAGGCTTCCATTTTGCATCCCTTTACCTCTGCTCCCTCCAGAATTGTCCACAGTGAGCTCTCAAGCTCAGTTCCAAGACAAAAAGTTGGGGAGGAAAAAAACAAAAACTAGCTTTTAGGATCCCAAAGTGAGGGGAGTGAGAAGGAAGCCAGGCAGCGGCGGGCATCCCTTCCCCACGTGGTACAGACTTCCAGAGCTCAGAGACCATGGAAGATGCAGGTTCACGTCATGAGTCATCTGAGTGTGAGCCTTTCTGGTCCACTGAAGAGGTGTTGGTATGTTTCAGTTGGTGTGTTTGAGCGAACGACATGCCGACTCCCATACTCACGTATAAAACCTAGGAATGTCACTGACCTTAGGTGGAAACGGAACCCGGTAGAAATCTGGCTTTGTAGAGACGGCCATGAGAGTGAGCTAGGACATTCTGCCAGGGTAGTCCTGACCACAGGGGGCCCGCCAGTGGCTTGGGGTCGACCCTTCTCAGCATCACGTGGGCTCCCGGGGCTCAGTGCCTTGGTAGCTTCCCACCCCATCTGCCAAATGAGCCATTTTACTCTGGTGGTGCCTCCATGGTGGCCTCCAAAACCTCCGTGTTTCTATCTCCTCATGACCCCAAGAATCATGAATTTGATTACACCAACACCTGGTTATGTCATTGAGCACTAAGGAATATAGCTGTTAGTTTTATATCAAATGATTTTATTGATGGATGAATTTTACTAACGCCAGCCATGTCCAGGGTGGGGACGGTCGGGAAGTGAATGACTCATGGCCATGGCAGGCAAGGCAGCTGAGGAGGAAGGTCTCAGGCGTCCTCCAGTGGGTTTCATGATCTTATGCCGGAGTTTCTCTCAGGGAAATGAGAGCTGTCATTGCCTTCTGCACACCTCCAGTGGGTAGCAGAGATTCAACAGATAGGTAGAAATATGCTTTAGAAAATTACAAGTTATTCAACTAAATGAGCACACCGTTCTTGGGTAGAAAGAGCGGCACTGGAGGAGTCATATCTAGCCCATCCCTCAATACTGGTGCTGGAGATCCCAGACCCCACACTGGTGGAACTCAGTTGAGCTACTCCCAGCTTTCTCTTATTCCCTTGGGGCCAAGTACAAAAGAAGTCTGTCTTCCCTGCGATGTGGGGGAACAGCAGCAGATCCCAGCCCCACATTCGTTTCTTGCAGTTAGAGAACTGCCCTGGTCATAGCAGGTGTGAGCACAGTTTCCCCCTCAGCCTTCTCTGCATCGACAATGCCTTTTTCTGAATCAGCAGCCATAGATGAGCCCTCCATTCACTGCTTGTTCCAACTTGCTTACCATGACTTCCTTTTTCTTCTCCAACTCTGCAGACCAACAAAGCCGTGGCCAAGGGGGACTTGCACCAGGCCAGCACCAGCTCCCGGCGGGCCCTGTTCCTGGCAGTGCTGTCCATCACCATTGGGACTGGCGTCTATGTGGGCGTGGCCGTGGCCCTCATCGCCTACCTCTCCAAGAACAACCACCTGTGAGCTTCCTGCGAACGAAGGGGGAGCGCCCGGGGCCAGGTCTGTGTGGACGTGGAGGAAGCAGACATACCGCATGATGCTGTACAGTACAAATGATCGCCAAAAGACGCCACGAAGCCCTGGGATTTCCTACCCATGAATTTCTTTTGTTTTTATCCTTTAATTTCATGTTCACAGCACTGTGTAGAGCACCAAACAGACGGGCACTGCTAATCCTTCCAAAGGAAAGCTCCAAAGATCCCAGCCCGCAAGGCTGTCTCTGGATGGATTCTGGTGGATGAATGGCAGCGCGGCTCTCTGCAGCCTGCCAGTGCCCAGAGTGCCGCCGCATGAGCAATATACAAACAGTCCAAAAAAGTGTTTATTTTTTATGGAACACGGTGCAATAGGCAGAGGACAAGGGACACATCACTCTTCTGTCTGTGGCCCTGCTGGAGTCCTTTGTGCCCCTCCTGAGTCCACATGCCTTCCCTGCAAGATGAGAATGGGGCTGGGAAGAAAGAGGTGACACCATGGCTGGCAGGAGCCCCGCTGCACTGCTCTGCAGACCCATTGGCCTGACCCTGGAAGCAGAGCCAGCCCGGGACCTGCCCCTGTTCCTTTCCCTTCACACCACCCCAGCCTCAAGATGTCGAGCCACTCCAGAACGTGTCTCACTCCACAGCTACCCCGCAGCAATACGCACTCTTGGGACCTCACTGATCTAGGATGGGGAGGCAGGCCACCGCCCCTCCCAAGACTCCTCAAGAAAGAGCCCCACGGTTGCTCCAGAAACTCAAGGCACTGCAGCCGTGGGCACTGCCTCAGCGTAAAGACACAGGGGCGCCTCCCAATCACCGCGCTGGCGGATGCTCACCCCGTCATAAGCAGAAACTAGTGATCCTGGAAACGAGATGGGCCTTACTCTGTCGACTAAATGAATAGCTATTTTCTTGTCATTTTTTAAAGTGCAACTCTTGCTTCATGCTGCTTAAGTTACCAGACGAATGCTGAGAAATAAGTAATCACAGACATTTTAATACCATTTCATTGCTGTTTTACGAGTGTTCATTACTTAACAAAAAATTATCTTTTAGCTTTTTCGCTTAAGACTTTTCTTTCTGATGAATAGCTGTCGTTGGGTTTCATTTATACTTTCCCCTGTGGTTTAAGGAACTGCAGAGCCACCCAGGCCTCCACCTATGAAACAGTAGGGGGTTCTCTAGGAGAACCGAAGTCCCTGCCGCTTCAGTTTCCACCAATAAATATGATTGTCCTAATCCCCTCAGTGGACGCAGAGACCCCCCTCTCCAGGACAGTGGCTCCGCCTGCAGCACTTGGCAAATTCCTGAGGCCTGGGTCAGCCCCAGGCTGACTTGATTGGTCAAGATGTGGCCTAGTAACTGCAACGTGAAGCCAAGGTTGAGAACCACTGCCCTGGAATAAGGACTACGGGTTTGATCCTTCTTCCTGACACTGTCCTTCTTGACCTTGAACATTTAATATTCTGAAAATTATTAGCACTGTCTTCCCGGGTCAAATGTGAGATCCATCTAGCATGTGTTTCTACTGGATGGTTCACAGGGACTATAGGATTTTAACCCTAAGAAGTAGATAGGGAAGCCAGCCAACACCCTTGTAGGAGTTAGAGTCACCAGCCAGGGAGGGCATAGGTTTAGGCTCAAACCAACCTGGATTTGAATCCAGCTGTGCTACTTTCTAGCTCTGTGATCTTGGGTAAAGGTTTACACCTCGGTCGGGCACAGTGGCTCACGCCTGTAATCCCAGCACTTTGGGAGCACGAGGTCAGGAGTTCGAGACCAGCCTGACCAGCATGGTGAAACCCCTGTTTCTACTAAATATACAAAAAATTAGCAGGGCGTGGTGGTGCGTGCCTGTAATCCCAGCTACTCGGGAGGCTGAGGCAGGAGAATCGCTTGAACCTGGGAGGCGAGGTTACAGTGAGCCGAGATTGCACTACTGCGCTCCAGCCTGGGCCCGACAGAGCAAGACTTCATTAAAAAAAAAAAAAAAAAAAATGTCTATACCTCTCTGAGCTTCGTCTCTAGGTCTCTAGGAGAGGATAATCAATAAGGCCTATTTTGTGGGGTTGCTGGGGAAGGCGCTAGGCACAGACCATGGCTCCTGGCAGGAGCAGGTGGTCATAGTTACTATCATGTCCTTGATGGGCTATTCCATGGCTGGTCTGTGTCCCTCCATCTCTCAGGGTTCATTTATCACAAGCCATTGTGTCAAATGGTCACCATGTCATCTGCAGCTGCCACAGACAGACCACACAGCTAACCAGGAACCAGGCCCCCTGACACCAGGACCAGCCCCTCCAGAGCTGTACTTGTCCTGAAATGATCCATTTCAAGTTCAAAGGCTCCCCAAAGGCGCATACCTTTGGATGTGGTAAAGAAGTAGAACCTGTCTGTACATCCACACCCATCATTTCTGTCTATAATGTCACAGTCACCCTAAGCCAGGCCCTTAGTGCCAGGTACTTTACCTCTGCTAGACCAACTACCCATCTTATTCCAGCCTCTATTTCCAGATGGAAAAGCCTCAGTTCCCAGGGGTTTGGCCCTATCTAAGTTGTCAAGCTCTGCCATGTCTTTCTCAAGGGCTTTACCTATGGGTGTAAATGGTAATAGTGGGCACAGGGGACAGGGCCAGCTGAAGGCAGCCATGAGGCCCAGCAGCTCACCTGGCAGCTAGGCATAGTGTGTGACAGCCCTGCAACTGGCTTGGCCTTGGTGGCAGGGAAAGTGACTGAAGGTCATCGTCGGTGGCTGTGTTAGTGACTGCTGTCAGCTGAGCCATCTTCTGAGTGTGTCGGAGCGACCTGCACCTCCCTAAACCTGCATCATTGTTGTTAGGCCCACGTGGCATCCACTAAGCACAGCTATGCCAGGCACACATGACCTCGCCTCATCCTCCCAATAGTCCCAGCAGGGAGGTGTCCCCACCTCCTCCCCAGGTGTCCCTGCCTTCCCAGGCATCCCCCCACCTCCCAAGGCATCCCTATATCCCAGGTACTCCCACCTCTCCAGGTAGCCACACCTCCCCAGGCATCCCCACCTCCCCAGGTAACCCTGCCTCCCCAGGCATCCCCCGCTTCCCAGGTACCCCCACCTCCCGAGGCATCCCCACCTCCCCAGGTACCCCTGCCTCCCCAGGCATCCCAACCTCCTGAGATACCCCTACCTCCCCAGGCGTCCCCGCCTCCCCAGGTACCCCTGCCTCCCCAAGTACCCCCACCTTCCCCAGGCATCCCCACCTCCCCAGGTACCCCCACCTCCCCAGGCATCCCCGCCTCCCCAGGTACCCCCACCTTCCTGGGCGTCCCCATCTCCCCAGGTACCTCCACCTCCCAAGGCATCCCTACCTCCCCAGCTACCCCCACTCCCTAGGTACGCCCACCTCCCAAGGCATCCCCACTTCCGCAGGGACCCCCACCTCCCCAGGCATCCCCAGCTTCAGCAAGTGTCCCAACTGACTTGACCAGGTGTCATACCCCAACTATTCCCAGGGAACTATAGTGAGTTCTGAGGAGAACATGGTAGGGGAGGACCCATCATTGATCACCATGCCATCTGCAGCTGCCACAGACAGACCACACAGCTAACCAGGAACCAGGCCCCCTGACACAAGGACCAGCTCCTCCAGAGCTGGAACAGGGCTTCCCTCAAACTCAGCCAGCTCTACAGGTGGCCCTGCCCTCTGCAGTAGCCTATGGATTTAAAATGACCAGTGGAGCAATCTTCCTGCTTACCAATTGCCGCTCCCATGCCCTGGATACCAATGTCAAGTGGAGCCTGCACTGAGATCATGGCCAAAGCCGCCCTCCAGAGCTGTGGCCTGAGTTCAGGATCTGACCCCTGAGGTTTATAGCATCCCTCAGAGGCTCCTAGTGGACCGGCTGAAATGCCTATCCTTATGACATTTTTGTGCTTCCCTCTTCCCCTCAAAGTCTACCTGCATTAGTTGCCATCGGTGCTGACATCTGTTGATCCAATTTGCCAATAGGCCATTAATAATGTCCCTCCATAGCCTGAGCTGAGGCCGAACCCTCAGAAATCACGGCCACCCCACCTCCGATCTAGGGATGCCTCCCTGCCTCTGCTTTGTGCTGATAACACTGGGATCAATGGCATCAGGCTGTGGCTGTGCTGTCCCCACCCCCATGACCTCCTGGAAGTTCTTCCCTGCTCTTCAGAGTGAGCTTGGCTGTCCAAGGGGTGGGGGCTTCGCTCCCCTGACGCTCTTGTCTGAATAGTCTGCTCATCTTTGAAAGTAACGGTGGATGCTAGACCAAGACACAGCAGGTCTTCAGACTGTGGGCTCCCTGCCAAACAAGCATGTCCACTGTGTAATGAATTTGTCAACCGCCTGAGCCTCACAGGGAAGAGTCAAAGTTCCCTGTGGGGAGAGGGCAGAAGGGGCAGGATCTGCTGACCCTGCATTTAAGGCGCAGCAGGACTCAGGACCACAGGGGCGACTTCACCTTCCCACAGGAGTGAGGGATGGGCATGGCCTGGGGCCTCAGAACAAGGTCCCCAGAACAAGGTCCCCAGAACAGGGTCCCGGGAAATGAGAAGGTTGAGTACAGCTGCCCCATGCAAGAGGGGATGGGGATGGCTGGGATGGAGTTCCAGGCAGGTATGCATAACAGGATGACCCCCCCTGGGCAGGGGAAGACCCTGAGGGCTCTAAGGATTTGCCCAAATCTACCAGGTAGAAAAGCAGCAGATGGGTGTGAATGTGGGTGACTCCATGCAGAAGCACCAGACTGGAGACATTCCCAGTGGGTGGGGCTGGGCTTGGCTTTCCAAACCCAAACAACGGGAGAGGGCCGGTTCATGCTGCAGGGAAAACTGTATTTGCTTGAGGCGAAACCAGCCTCTACTCCAGAAGAAAGGTCAAGGGCTCATTCCTTTGGGTTTTGTTGCTGGTCCTGCTGCTGCTGTTTGGTTTGGTTTGGTTTTGAAAGCCCACGGAGTAGGACAGCTTTCTTCAGGAAAGCTTTCAAGGCCCAAGGACAACAGCATGCAGGCAGGGCTGAGTCCTGGCCTTCACACTGAGGACACTGACCCCACCCGCTCCAGGATGCCCACTGTGAGCCTCTCACGCTGGCCCGAGGGCGGCCTGAAGGGCCTCTAGGCACTGTTGACAGCTGCCTCTGGTCACTTCTGTCCAGCAGAGGCCACAGACCCACCGCAGTGCCTACAGCTGCACATGCTGGAGGCTCCACAGGAGAGAATGAAGAATGCCGAGGGCTGAATCCACGAGAGCTTCACTGGGCTCCCAGGGCAGGCTCATACCCAGGGTTCCCAGGGCAGGCTCGTGCGCAGGGCTCCCAGGGTGGGGTCCCAGGGCGGGCTTGTGGGCAGAGCTCCCAGGGTGGGGTCCCAGGACGGGCTGGTGTGCAGGGCTCCCAAGGCAGGCTGGTTCCCAGGGCTCTTGAGGCAGGCTCTTGGGGCAGGCTCGTGTGCTCCTCACATACTCCAACACAACTGGAGCATCCGCTTCCAGGCCTTCCCATCACAGCGCTAAAGCCATTAGGAACGACAAGGACAATGTCTTTGTCCTGATTCTGACCAAGGCCCTCTCTGACTTGCATTGCAGGCAACTCCATTGCCTAATGTGTACCTACAGTCACCATGCTGTGTCCAAATATCACAACGAGGAGCCACAGGCACACAGTTCCCAGATTAGATCTGAATATTTGCCTTGACCTATTCTTGAGATTTCTGCCTCTGCTCCAATCCAGGACAAGTGCTGTGGCTGCCCTGGCATCAGACCTGGCTTCTCAGTGCCACTGCACCCGTCCCATCAATGCAGGGGCCAAAGTGGCGGATCTGGGCTCCAGACTGCGAGACAAGTGTCCCCTCAGCTGAGCATGTTGTCAGTCTCCTCCGTCACCCTCATGTCCTTTGCTCTAGTACAGAATGAGCCCAGGGCTGCGCGTGCCCCAGACAGAGAGAATTCAGCACCCGGGCCTACACTCAGTCAGTCAAGGCTGAGTGAAAACGAGGTGCTCTGGGAGGTGCCAGATAGGTCCTGGAGGGCACATCCCCTGCACCTCCTACT